TTCCCAGAGCCTCTGTGCACTGTTTTGCTGCAGTTTCTTAACTGCAGGGTTTATTCTCGCATTGAAAAGCCCTTATGAGCTCCCAATGCACATCTACTTTCCCAGCACTTTGGGGGTGGCTCTTCCCTAAAGGAGGCAGAAGAAGCAGCACTGCACTCTTTTTCTTTCCGCTCTGTTGGACCAGCTCTGCTGCAAGAATTCCTCTGTGAGGAAAGCAGTTCAGCAGAAAGGGGGGAAGTACCAAGCTGCTTCTGAATCCCCGGTTCTGAAAAACCTTGTTAGCAACCTCCGCGATGGCTGGGGGGAACAGGGTGGGAGAAAGACAGAGGAGCCTCTATCTGAGCACACCCCCTCCCCCAGGTCCTCCTTGCTGCAGCTGGTGCCTACATTAGACAGTAGCACAGATGATTAAGAAGAGGAGAGATAATTATGTGTCAAGATGATGTAGCAGAACTCCCGAGTTGGACAGAAGGAGCCAAACGGATGCATGAGGTGGGCTCAGCGATGGACGCTGACAGCCAGGTGTGTCCCTCACAGGGAGGCAGAGGGAAGAGGGGAAATCCCAACCTACCAAATGTGCTGGCTGCAACCACAAGGGTGGCCTGGGAAGTCTATGGCACCGAGAGCGGGCTAGCAGGGAGGCAGCGCTGAGCGCCTGCCAGTCACAACAAGGAACTGTCAGATCACAAGCCTTGCCTCAAAACCGGTGTGTCTTCCTCAGGTGAGTGCCTAGGAAGGATGGTCAGGATTTGCCCTGTTAAGACCATGTATTCCTTTTGTTTCAGTTTTTGACCAGTGATTGTAAACCCTCTGACTTCCGTGACAGATTAGGCAAAGCAGAGAGTTGGTCTCCTACGATTATTTAAATAATTTGGTTAAAGCAGTTCACCACCGCTTGTGTAGCACAGCGTGTGCCATTTCTTGCAGTCTATGGGCAGAGCCAATGTTGCTCTAATTTCCCTCTGACCTTCCCCCCTACTTACACCCACCATTTTCCAGAGGCAGAAGTGGCCCTGCAGCATGTAATGACTTTCCCAAGACCGCTGAGGGTCTTGCAGTATCAAGCTGCGGCTGGAAACAGTAATTCCTGGCTCTTCAGGATCCTAATGCCATACTATGCTGTGATGGCAGGCCAAGCTCAGCAGGGTCATCGTCAGACTGAGAAGCAGCAATAAGAAGTCCGGAAGGATAAAGGGGAAAAGTAATACGCAAATATTTCTGTTGTTCCATAAGCCCTCCGATTAATAGCTAAAAGGATGAGAAATGGGGTGAGCCAGAGGCACCAACAAAAAATTTGTATCACTCATACCGTAGTCTTGGGCACTGTATAAGGAGAAGAAGTGAGAGAGGGGGAGAAAGGGAAGGATGGATAGATAGCTGGATGGATAGGTAAGGTAGATAATTAGATAATATGAAAACAATACTTCAAGCTGTTCCCTGCTTACCACAGCATCTCCAGCTGGGTGAAACTTTTGGATCTTTACAAAACCACTCTTATTAGAGATGGCTCTTTCTCTCCATAGCAGGCCACAGACAGACCTCCTCTATAGACCCAAATTCTCATTTGGGATTTGTCTTCCAGTGAGGCTGGTGCTGTAACATTCTCAGCATTATTAATCTTGGGCCCTGACAATATCTGTAGTATTTGACAGCATTACTGGCAATAATATCTGCAGTGCCGACAATGGCAGAGATAATATCCCCCAGTATTATCAGCATTAGCGGGGATCATATCTGCAGCCTGTTATTGGCGGGAGCAGACGTAATGTGTCCAGTATTATTAGTATCAGTAGTAATAAACCCCACAGGCTTGTTAGTATGATCAGTACTAATATCAGCGGTAGCTTTGTGGGAGAGTAGGGGACGGAGTGATTGCTACTGTAAATGGCAATAATACTCGGGCTGTTTGCAGTACAGGAATCCCCAGCGGAGATGGGGGAGCTAAACTGGAGAAGGCAGAAGTTCCTCCTTCCCTTTCCTCACCTGTCATTTTGATGATTAGGGTGATTTATGTTGAAGTAAGTGATGCAGGGGGACAGTAAAGGGTTACCAACTTTCCAGCAGGCCTGGTGGTGTTTTCTGAAGAGTCTTAGCTGTATCTGTACAGGTGGGTCACCCTATCCTTCCACATGAGCTGTGCAGAACGGGGCGCTGCCTGCCAGCATTAGGAGCAGCTGCACTGTGAGTCCTGCAGCTGCAGGATGGGCAGCATCACTGCACTTCTCTTGCAACTTTCTGGCTGTTACTACCATGACACCCTCTGCTGAGAAGCACTGCTTTTGGTGCAGGTGGTTTTCTCCTCCCTCACTCCAAATGGGAGGACTCTGACTGCAGGGCAGTGTTCAGCCTGGGGATTTTCCTAGCTGGTCGTGATCTCATTACTGGGTAAATAGAAATGCCTCCTTCAGGTGGAGTATCAGGCAGGGAGATCTGCAACAGTCTTGTCCTGAAAGTTGTTTTTTTAGATACTGCCCCAGGACCTAGACTGTCCTGAACAAAATTTTTAACTCAATTGTTTGAGTGGAAAGCAGCGC